TTCAGATTTTCAGTCAGAATCTGATGGTGTGTAGTCATACGACCATGGCTCGTACAATCAAAAGCCAGTTGGGTACTCACCAATACACTTGAAATTAAAAAAGAGACTCATTTTTGCGAGACTTATTCTAGTACATATTATAGCCGATATCAAGACTTTTTATAATGTACATTCAGAGTTCTCCAGCCAGAAGCCGTTACTAAGATATCAGTGTTTTTCAAACAATCTCCTTATTCAGACCAGAATGAACTGATCTTGATTTCTTACCACGAATCAGTGACCATGAATCTTGAAAAATTTTTCAGATCAGGTCATTCTAATCTAAATCTTATTATTGATTGTACAGGGTCAGAATCTGATAAGATTGACCTGAAATCAAGATTCTGTCAGAAATGATCTCAAGACTGTCGACTTGTGCCGAAACATCATTTAACTCGAGTTAACTTTTTGACCAATCAGCTTCGTTTTTGCTCATTTAACTTTTGTAGTGTGAACGTGGCCTAATTGTTTACTTTATCGGTGAAAGAAGTTATCTGCTAATAACAGCTACCAATAGCAGATAACTTCAGCATTCGTTGAAAGCTAGCTGGCCACCGAAAGTAAGATATGTAAAAAGCTCAATATGGCCTCTCTAACCAATAGAAGAGTGTATGGAAGTCCATGTTTTCTGTTTTTTACGTTATACTAGTAGAAAAAATATAACAGAACCATTTATACAGCATGTGTCTCTTCCAATAAATTGGAACAAAACTCAACCGGTTCCAACTCTGGTCGAACCCTACGGGTCGAGTACCTACGGCGTTCGGAACCTGATTCGACCCGGATCGAATACGATGATACATCTGAATGATTGAACAGTTTACCCGATAACATGACGCCAGTTAAATAAAATAAGGTTCCTACATCAGACGTAGTTTATTCTGTTGTTCGAACTTTGATAAACAAACGATAATTATCTGTTCCAACTAGCAATCAATCTCAGAACATTGGTTAACAAAGTCATACTTGTTTATTGACGTTTCAACCAGTAAAAAACGATACCCTTAGATTATCTATCCGTAATTTTTCCACCGAGTTTCACCGGTACCATTTGAAAAAACGAATAAAAGTTCATCTGTTCGTTTGTGTTAAAGCTGAATAGATCGGACTCGAAATACAACAACTCAAGTTCGAGTTCGAGTCCTTCAGAAAAATCTCCAGTCCGAATCCGAGTCCGCCAAAAACATCTTTTAGTACGGACTCGCCCATGCCTGTCGTCATGATTATAGCAAAATGTGATATTTTCTAGACGATTTTATTACAGCAATAGAAAAATGATATATTATGACAAAGTATAAGACTAAGTTGAACTATTTGTTAATTTTAACATTTTTTTTCAATCCCTTTTCTCCAGGAAATTTTTCTTTCATTTGATAATTTAAACCGGCTTGTTTAAATCTTCTTAATATTTCTTCTAAATTATCACAATCTGAACCGAGATGTAAACGGACAAACGGTGATACATCCGAATGACTGAACAGTTTACCCGATAACATGACGCCAGTTGAATAAAATAAACTATTGCTAAAATCTTCTGTAATATCGGATATACTTTTATTTTCTTTTTCTTTATCTTGCTGATAAACTGTTGGTGCTTGAAATAATAAATAAGATGTAGATGGACCAGTACAAATAGCATTTGACGGATATCCTAATTCTTTTTCCATAAATTCACGAATAATTTTTTTCTTACGTGTTAACTCTAAACAATTCTCAACGATAAATTCATCGGCATCATGTAAATGATCTTTTAACCACTGACACATTATTTCAGCATTTAAACACCCATTTATATAGTGATGATCCCAATATATATGATTTAGACGACTCATCAAGGTTGGGGATGCTGTAACAGCTGCTACCCCCATTGCATTACAATTAAATTGTTTACCAAATGGACGCGTTTGAATCCAACGATTAAACATTTCATCCTTAAATTGGATATATTTCAATCGTTCTAACCATAATTTTACTGTATTCACAACTGGTATCCGTGGATCATTAACACAATAATAGGCATCATCAATTAGCAAATAAGAATGATATTTGAGAGCAAGATCAATAAGATAATTAACAACATCACTCGTCCATTGTTTGCCTGTTGGATTATGTTGAGTATTAATAATAACAAGATCAAGATGTTTTACCTTTTGTTTATCAAGATATTTTGTCCATTCATTTAAATCGGGTACAAATTCTGTTTTATGTGTTATTGGTAAATGTAAAACTTCCATATTTAAACTTTCATAAACACCAGCATAATCCCATCCTGGTTCAAATGATAAAACATACGGTTTTCTATCTTTACATTCTTGTACTATTAATCGACCAAGATCATACATACAAAGACGTGTAGAATTCATAAAACATCCAACTTCAAAGTGATATTCTATCGGTACTGTATTAATATAATCAGTTAGTTGATGATCACGTAAGATAATTGTTTTCATTATTTGACGATGTTCTTCTAAACCGTAGGCATATTCCATATAACCAAAGTATTTTAAATCAAATTTAATATTTTCTACTAATTTTTTTAATTTTGGAGCAACTTCAGTAAAATGTTCACCTTTGGATGAATAGATACATGGACCATATGGTTCACCGGCTGAGTGATATTTTTCATAGAGTTGTTGTTCTTGAGATGACTGACGTAATATATCCGAACTGTTTATCAAATGTGCTCGTGCTCCAGCATAATGTAACTCGACACGTTTAGCACATGGAAGTTTAAATATATCAAGTAATCTTGGATTTTTTTGCTCTTCCTCCATTGCTTTTTATTTATCTAAATAAAAAATGGGTTGAGACGGTCACCCCTAGTGAATGTACTTGAATTTGGGTACCTAAGAACTTTAACTACTCGAGACTCCCGGCCAAAGTCCCGGAAAAACAGTCCCGTGAGAGTTCCACGGGACTCTCGTCGGGAGTCTCATGGGACTTTTTGATAAACTCCCGCGGGAGTCCCAGTAAAATCCCGAAAAATCTAAACAAAATTGAAAAATGCCCCGCGAGAGTCCCGGCAGGATCCCGTGACGGGAGTCCCTATACGCAACGAAAAATCGCAGACAGCTCGGAAATGTCTTAAATTAAATTTTCAACTCTTTTCTGCAATTTGAGATCTCTTGGGACTCTAGAAAATCTATCCTCAAAAAGTTATGATTAAAACGCCGCTAGCTATATTTCGATTTATTTTTTGGAAAAGTGGATCTCGCCGTTTTAATCATAACTTTTTGAGGTT